TTTTACTAGATTTCATGTAATATTTTAACCAATGTCATTTCGACATTTTATGCCAGGATTCAGATTCTCAAAATATTGTCCATGATCCAATTTTGTTGTTGTTTTTTGTTTGTTTAATTAAAATCTATAGTCAAATATGGAATTAGTTTTAGTGGTATTAATATTTTAAATCCTACCTTTTATGACGTGGTGTGCCTTCACAGCTAAAATGTTGAAGCAATGCTTCCCAGTTATTTCCCAATTTTCTTTCAATTTTCCATCAAACAGAATATGATTTTCTTTATGAACTTTGATCAATTGCCAATTTGACAGTTGCCAATGATGGTGGGAGAGTTATTGTGTATACAATATTGAATTAACATGATATATATGTACAAAAAAGATGACAACAACATTTATTATTTCAGGACTGTTTTGTATGAATATGTACGAATTTCATGATATTCGTCAACACACTGCAATATTACTGCATGCATTTCCATTTTTGATTCAGACTGGGTTGTATATGCTCTGAACTGTGTTCTGCTGGATTTATAATGACTAGGTCCATGATGACATAATTATCTGTAATTTATTTTCGCTACCAAATAGATCACTGGATCGAAAAACACCGAATAATCAATTGTAATACCACTGTTTCTTTAACCAAATATTTATGAGTGCAAAGTCATGTGAATTGTGACATATGAACATACATTTGTAGAAATATGCATATGAATGAGTTTTTGAACAGACTAGTTTTCATCCCATCTAGTTTTGTCTAGCGTCCTTGGATATTTTATGGAGACTGTTTTTGCAAATAAAGTCCAACACCGGGAAAAGTGTCAAGGCTGCTATGTGAGACACTTTGCAATTTGAAAATGTGGCATGTGGTCGATATACTCAAAGGTTTGCATAATGACCAACTTATGAATATTCATGATCCAACTCTGAGCATGAAGTAGGATCAAATAATATACAATACATGGAGACTATATATGATATAAATTCCCTACAAAGCGATCCTCATTGGGTCAAGACTAAGAGCTGAAATAAGATTAGAAAACTGGGCATTTAGTTTATATGCAGCCTGACAATAAAGCATTCTGATTTGTCGAAAAACAGGTTTTAAGCATGCTTTTGGAATGACACTTATTGTGTTAGGGTATTTGTCAGAGCAAGCTTGACAGATCATCAGGTATCACTGTATTAGATTATCAATCTTGTGTACCCTTATCAAAGAAATCTTTTATTTGCCATAGCAGCATCTTTTATCAGCTATATTATCATTTTTCACGCGTTTTTTTCACTTGTATAGAAGTCTTGGAGGCATTTGACAAACTAAAAGACACAGCATCAGAAGACGCATTACGACAGTTTTTGTCAGTGTTCAAAAGCCAATCACACCAGGTTTGTTGTCTTTTTTTTAATAGGTAGTGTTCTAGTGATGCATATGATTAAAATGTTCTTGTTGTTTTTCGTGTACTATATACGATTATAATATTGGATTGTGACATATGCAGTTATTTAGTGATCCAGTCATCTTGCTATAGAACATGAACGCCCTATTTGTTTGTCAGTTGTCTAAGTTTGCTGGTTATGGCAACAGCTATCAGAAAATTTTTTCATTTTCCACCTTCTACAGTTACACAGTATTGTTGAATCCCTAACACCGATGGCAGAATCTAACGATGGTCAGGGTGACAGTGAACGTAAGCTGTAGTTTCTATACTAAACATACATTTATAACTTAATACCAACTAAGCCAATAATTGTACCCTGTGCGAAGGGGGGGCTCTTGTTTGCTCTGTGATTTTGAAACTTAGGGGGTTTTGTTGAAAATACATGGAATATAATAATCGTTCGTAATACAAGTAGAATTATGTCTGCCATTCAGTTTTAGTGGCATCTTCAAAGTTCATCGTTTTTTTGATGCAATTTGCGAAGACTTTCCAAATAATTTGTCTTCAGGTTATTGATAATGATATGCAAATTACCTAGTTAATATGCACAAGCAACATAAAACTACATCATGGAAGGTGAGAGAAGTTGACAAAGGCAGTGAATGGGTTTGATGATATGCAAATTATCTAGTTAATACACATAGACAAAATAAAGCTACCTAGTGGAGGGTGACAAAAGTTGACCAGGGCAGTAAAAGAGTTAATATATGCACAGACAGAACATATAGCTAATTTTGTAGAAGATGACAATGGGTTGATGGTTTATATGAAACTATTGATATACAGGGTTGAGTACTTTGAGTGAGTTCTGTACAGAATTCTTCACCAGTTTGGACAAGGTACATGAAGAGTCAGTTCGGAAACATAAAAAGCAGACCAAGAAAGTAGAACAGCTGGAACAACAGGAGTCTGACATTTTGAAAGAAACCCTCCTCGTCATGGAAGAAGTTAGAATTAAAAAAGAGGAAGAAGTGAAACGGAAATCAGTCTCTGGTAAAGAGAAGCTGGGGGCTAGTGTAAAAGAATCGCCACCAAAGTAAAGTTAGATTCAGCCTCCTTGCTTACTTATGTAGGTTGTTGAAGAGTTTTCAAGCATTTCTGCCATTTTATTTTCGTTTCGATATGCATTTCTGTATGGCTATTACTGGCATTTCTTTCATTTTATTTTCGTTTCGATATGTATTTCTGTATAGCTATTACTGATTAGAACTTGATAGTCAAATATATATGTGACCATCATATTTTTATAGTGCTGTTAGTTTTCAATTCTAAGATTTCTATAAATCTAATAGTCGGAAGATATTCTGCAATGTAGTTATTAAGCTAAAAGTTGTTTTCGAAACACGGGGAACTCAGAAATACTGGTAATGTTTTGAAACTTTAATTTACCTACAATTATGGATACAAAAAATGAATCAATATATCAACAATAAAAAAATTGTGTAAAACTGAATATGTGTATTTACATCATGATGGTGTAATAGTCTTATGAGGCTTGCTGGTACTGAGTTGATATGTTCTTGGATAAAGTACTTCTCAATCTCGGACTAACTGTGTACCTGATGGCTCATGATTATTTGTGTGTGCCTGTGTAGAAACAATCCATATTTTGGGGAGTTCTCAATCTGTAGTATGCAGCCCAAAGAATACTTCCTCAGATATGCTGCTAAGCAATGCCTCTTTCTAACTGCAAGTATTTCCATCAGTAAAAGAGCACCAATTTCTTTTTATCACTAAGGCTGATCTCAATAATATCTTGAAAAAGAATTCTAGTCTGAGATTTGTAAAAAAAAATTAGAAAATCATGCCCAATTGGGTTATATTTCCGCAATCATGATTGTCTGAAATATGTCTGCAAGTATCCTTTTCAACACAAAAACCTACTTTTTATGTGATGTCTGGCAATTCAAAGCAGAAACATGTATATATTTGTCATGCAACCCTCATTACCATTGCAGTGTGGCATTACGCAGTAAATTTGATAGGCTTTTTAGTGAAATCTCTTATCATGTGCTTCGATGTGCAAAGTGCCCTGAAAAAAAATAAAAATCAATGATAAGGTAATCCGAAGAATCCCATTGGCTTTCATTTTGGTGCAAATCCCTAACCACATGGAGTGTATGTTACCACTCTTGGGCATTCACAGAGTGTGTTTCCATGACGACCAACGTCAGTACAAATAAGAGGAAAATGTGGATGTTGGTGGGCTGCAGAGCATAGTTTCTACTGAATCTCAAGAACCAGTCTGCCAAATCATTATGTAATATATTTACAAATATTCCATTGATCTGATCCATAATTTTACTTACACCCACTTAGTTTTAATATTTTAATATTCATATGACATTTACACTGACCTTAATAGCCAATTACATTTGACCGTGGACGTCACTTATGTCATACAATTGAATAAATTAATATGCCAAAATTTAGAAGATGGCGCGAAAATTGAACATTTCATGTGCAAGTATTACTGTTTTAACAAGTCAATATGTATTAAACATGCTTTTTTGTTTTGTTTTTACCTCCTTGCAACACAAGCTTCCAAAACATACAGGAGTATGTTTTTGCAATACAATTTGTAAAACAAGAGCTCGACTTTTGATATGAACACTCGGACATCAAATTCTGCTTTTCTTGTATTATTGATACTAGAACACCGACTTGTAGATCTGACGGTTTTGTGTAATTTTGTTTGTCAGTATAGACTTTACAATCTGTTTTTTTCTGCACCTTTAGCTGGCAATTTTCTCTCAAATCGTCTCGTTGTAGTTCAGAAAGGGTTTTTTTTTTGGTTTTCTGCCGTTAGGTTGTTTTCACCACTGATTTGTTGGCCATGTAGCAAGACTCAGTTTGGCACAGGCAGTTCATCTTTTTTTACTGTTTTATGTGACATTGCCTCAGATAATTCAACCAACAACGTGTTATTATGACTTGAGATAATTTTGTAGCGTCTCATGTTTAGCAGTGACTACTAATTTCCGCCATTGTATCAGGTACTTCATTAATGGAAACAAATTAAACATGTACGTCAATATGAACGTGTGAGTAGTAGACTTTGTTTTGTTCTTTAATGGATGACGACTTATGGTTGCATGATTGTAGAGACATGGTTGCTAAATTCTTGCGATTTAAAAGTAGGTTTGTTAAAAACATCAGTCAACTTTCATTCATCACAAACCCGTATGCGAAAATTAAACCACCACATCTAAAACCTCTGATTTTATCCTGTCCTGACCTGTCCATATACTCTGAATTAAACCTTGATTGTCCTTTAAATCGTTCACGTACAAATGGTGACGTTTACGTTTGTCAAATTTATGGAAGTCATCTATGCCTGAAACTGAAGTGCATGCAATGTCAAGTCATCTCGTAGTACTCTTTGTCTCAGTAAACACGATTTGCAACTTTATTTCCTCAGTCTCGTCAGCAAGTTAACCGGTCTGTGTGAGTTGTCGGAGCAGTGTATAATAGCTGTATCGCGACTCGACTGATTTCTGCGCTGCATTTCGAAAAATATATACTTCATATACTTCATTTTTCCTGGGTAGAAAGTTTAATGCGTTGATTGCCTTCGGATAATCATCATCGCCACGATCTTCTTTTCTCGTTTTGAATATCATATGTAGTTATATATACTTCGAATCGATTCATCGTCTGCTGTCTACAGAAGTAAAATGTACCGTTCCTCACTGAATATGTATAGCTTTGATGCTGGTATCTTTAAAACAACAAATCTGCAAAAACTGTGATAAAAAAGTTGTAATCGAATTTGTCATTCCAAACTTCTATTTTCTAAATTCTCGACAGTTCTCTTTCTTTTCTGCTTCATTGCTCTTCGGAACTTCAGGTAAATACTTCGGAAACTCTGTCTGTATTTGTTCAATTTGTATCTCATCGTCATGTTGTAGAATTCAAAGTAGATAAATTAACATTGATATTTCAATAATCAATACTAGGGTCGATGTTTATTTTGTTTGCTTCTTCTATTTACGAAGTGTATCTCTGGCCGCGATTATTCTATCGTCTCTTGCAACTGAAGGTCCACGCTGACTTTGTTTGGGCTGTATATTATGCGAAATGACTTTGCAGCGAAGGTTTAATGAAATCCTTAATTAACTGAGTTCTCATTCAATGAGATTTGAATCATTCACCTGTCATGGTTTTGAAACACGAGTCCCGGCATGACGTCACAGCTTCTCCAAACTACTATAAAGAAGCTGTAATCGTTTCGTCCCGGGGCGCGCAATTAAACCACATCACTGTGTTTTGGATGTCTTCCTTCTTTACTCATCACGTGACTTTAAGCCTTGTACTTTAATCGATGGTTTGAGTGTATACCCCGTGTTTATACGTACAATCAATATATTAATGAGCTTGAAAAAGGTTTTGTTCAAGATTGGTACCACAGGAACTGGCCGTAATACCGACATTTCACATTGCTTTCTGAAGTAGGCTACATTTGCTGTAGTTCACAAAAAGTATACCACTGTGGATAAACCCATGGCTGGACCTTTATCGAACACGACGCGATGCGAAGAGTTTGGTATTTTGAATTATTCATACATGAAATGACTGCTTACCCTGTCCTATATTCTAAGTGTCGTATTCTATAGTCGTCCACGTGACGTATACAACACGTATAAACTACAATGATTTTGGTACGAGCTTCGTACGAGCATGGACGTACTAGAGATGGACGCTGCACGGTGATTCACACCTGATAAGACGCATTGTCTTTCTATTGTACTCATCTTAAATTTATGAATAGGCAGACGTACTTTCATCTTGGCTGAGTTGCCGCCTGATCTTAGTTTTGATTTTTCACGACAAGATTCGAATCTTAAATTTTATATTATATTGGGTAAAAAAATACAGGCCTTGCCCATGAGCTGGTGCAATGTTAAGTTGTAAATCAAGGGTTTAACGCAGATCCGTATGTTCTAGGCAAGTTTACGAGCATGTTTGTACCGATCTTCTGCATTTGTTATCAATTTTAATTTTATATTGCCAGTAAACCCAGTGTGAGCGGATGACGATTTTGTTATCCGATGTTCAATTCGAGTGAAATTTCCAGAAATGTCTCTAGTACGTCCATGGTACGAGTGCTGCGCGACGGCCACCGCTTTTCATAATTTGTTTTTTGAAATGCAGCTTGAGCTATTTCCTCGCGTCTAGCAATAATTTCTAAAGAAAAACAAACCAGAATTCGAGTTATTGACGATTATGCTAGCCAATACATTGAGGGCTTTCCATTGATTATTCTATTAGCAGGTTGAGTACTAATCAGCGAGATATAATAGATACAATTCGTTCCGTTCGACGGCTTTATCGAGTGTATCGTAGTGAGATGACAGGGCGCGGTTGGGTTAATAGGTGATAGTTGTAAAACGAAATAACTTCTCTTGCGTCAAAAATAAAACGTACACATCAATATGCAGCTGATAACATTTATACCACTTTGTTTATTAACATGATTACAATATGAAGCAATATACACTGTTGAAGTTTTTATAATACGGTTGGAAATGGCATTTCGTTAAACCATGGCATGCAACGGAAGAACCGAACTTGTCTTAAAATTTGTAAATGTCAATCTTGGATGAAATTAAGGATATCTGATTTGAAAAGGGCAGGGTTACACTGTCGTGTGAATGAATTGATACACAGTCGACCAAGCACACTGGAACCACACGTTAATTAACAGTTGGGATCAAAAAAACATATTTACATATTGTCGGCTCTTACGACTAGTTAACAAGCAATGTAATTATTGTGATGGTGAACAAAAGAAATTGACACGGTCTCTATTTCCATGGCGACATGGACGTAGACATATACGTAATGTTTTTTACGTCGCTGTCGATTTCTTTAATGTGTCTAGCCGTCTGACTTGTCACTGCTACCTTATCAGGCAGCGCAGCAGGATGTGTATCATTTCAAGTCGTATCAAAGTTCTTGCATAAATTAACCTTTGAATATATTAACCCACATCGTCACCACACGCGCCCAATTGGACACGCATCACAGATCTAACAAACGCCTGAAAATAAAAAAATCGCGACTACGTGGATAACAGTGGCTTTTACATTGCTTAAAATAGTGTGTAATTAAGCTTGTTTTGGAGGTTGATTAAAATATAAATAAATAATAATTCATGTTTTGTTTATTCTTATCGATAACGATGCCATTTTAGAAATCGCATGTTATAATCTCCTAGACTTTCAGCGAGTGTTGTGACAGACATATGAAAGACTTGGAAGTTCTCAGTTTGTATATAACCTACTGGACCACGAGTTAACGACAAGTATGTTCTCCGACTGAAACTGATCAACCCCATTTGCGTTATTAAATTGTAAAACAATACTATTAATAGCATATTGTCATACTCGTCAATGAATTTCCACCACTCTTTCACAAAGTATAGCTTTCATTTGGCATCATTTCAATCTTAGAGAAACGTTCTTATATACACTGTGTAAAAATAAAAATATTGACAAACAAATCTTCATAAAATATTATCTCCATTAACTTGTTTTGAGGTCACCAATAAGATGGCCGATAACCTTGGGTAGACGACAGGTAGTCTAGGAATATTAACAACAGCACAATTATCATTTAGATTATAACAATTCTACCTTCCGGACAATGTTCATAGACTAGATAATTTATCTTATAAATATTCCGTGCCTGTTTAACAAACTAGTAGCGATGACATCACTTCCTGTTAATGTTAACTTCCTGTTAATATGGCCGACAATGATGAGCAGACGGCAGGTAACCATGTGTCAAATAACAAACAAGTTACATGAAATAAAGTACATGTCTTATACAATAATTGCAAAACTACTATTCCACAGTAATTAAAAACTTTAAATATAAACATTTACATTATTTCTATATTTATCTACAATACAACTCGGTTGTATATTATGAATATTTGCTCCCTGAAATCATTACTATGGTAACGGCTCGTGAGTACGGTGTGAAAGGTCATTTTAATATAATATTGGTTGATTTTAGCCATGTCAAAGGGTGTCTTACACACAGAAAGTATTGGCCCACGGAGCTTTGGATAGTTTATGATTGTAAAAGGAGTCATGTTGTTTCATCTGTTTAAACTAGTGTATACATATGAGGATGGTAATATATTAGAAACAGAAATTTGCATAATGATGGAATATAAGTTTTAGAACACATTTCTCGACGACTTTTCCTTCAACGCCCTAAATACCCCGTGTGTTTTTCCAGAATGCAATTCTTCGCGTGACCTTTTCGTTATCAAATTCATTTCATTATGAGACATTTTTTTTGATTTGCGCACATTTTGCACCTTACTCAAAATGAACCATTTCGCGAGATGATTTGACGACTGAAATTTAAACTTGCAAACGAAACGCAGTACACTTGATCTCCAAACAGACTACCACTTCTTATAGTGCAAATTGTCCCAAACGACGCGGACCTCAGAAATACAACTTAACTTTGGTTAATATTTAAAAACAATCAGCTTATCATTTCCATATATCAGCATATAATTAACATAACACAACAATTTTACTGGCCTATTCGAGATTACAAAGAATTCTGGTTCTCTCATCAATCGAAAATGTGATAAACAATTAAATAAAAAGCAAATTAATTGTTTTCCCTTGGTACTCGGCTCCGAGTCGGCTTCGGCGTAACACCAAGATGTAAACATTACATAGTGAATCATGCAGCTGATTAATGCTAGATCAAAACTCTCATTCGACTACTGTTTTAAAAAACAAAAACGGATGAATCTCACTTACATATTTACCCACAATTCCTAGCGAAAATGCAAGACAATAATAAGAGGATATGCTGGGTGAGACGAACGGTTATATTTTCCTTTGTGGGGTTCATTTGTGGAAGAGAATATTAAACATTGTAAAAGTTATAACTGAAATAAAATGCTTGTATTTAACAGGAACGCTTATATTGTCACGTGACACACGCGAGAGTGTGATCTAAAGAGCGGGTCAGTCAGTGTGTTCGTTATTTTTAATTTTCGTTTAAATCAATGTTTTATATTTTAGGGAGCAAACAACACTGATTTACATAACAGTTATTGAATATATATTATATATATTTATATATATCGTATGTATATATGTATATCGTATCGTATCGGATTTGCGCTTGCGTAGAGTCTCTCTTGATAAATCTTAGCTCGCCAAATCTTAGTTGACCTTTGACCGTTTGACGCCTACTTCGATGTTATGTTTTTTATTCACTACTAGAATAAATCCTAACATTAAGCTAAACTGTAACAGATATAACATTAAATTAATTTCAGTGTTTCAGTGATAGCTAATTTGGCAAATAATTTTTGATTGAATATACATCAATTGTAGACTCGGCTAAACCATGATCTCAAATTTCATTCTTGAAAGTCTTAACTTTCATTTTAAATGTAAAAACAATTGATATGTAACGTTAAGTTATAACAATATGTATGGTAATAACGAGCACGTGACTTTAGGTCTTAGGGTCAAAGGTTATGCACATTGTAAACAGGTGTACTCTCTTCCAAAATATTAAATGAGGATACAATGTTTGGGGAAACAATAACTCAAACTACAAAAATATGATATCTTCAAATTCCTTGGTCAAATCATTCCATTAATTTGTGCCATTCTGCAATTTGCTTTCGTGGGTTTTCCATGATCTCTTTCCAATGGCGTTTTTCGTCCTCTGCACACGCTTTGGCGCCGATCACTAGCCGGCCAATGATCTCGTTTTTCGTGACTCTGTCGTGGTCGAGAATCTGAAACTCCAAGCTGACATTTTGCAGGCCTTCCATGGGGACATCGAAGAGGAAGATTCGTTGAATACGGGATTTAATGTCCGTTTCTTCAGACGTGTCTTCTTCTTGGCAAGCCGCTGGTTGCTGTACATTAAGTGGATCTTGACGTATGGATCTGAGGTAAAAATATATAAATCGAAAGTTTGCTATATTCTCAAGCATGTTTCATAATTGTGTGAAAATTTACTGTCAAAGTACGTTAATGGATTAGAGGGATACGCACGCGTTTTCACGGCACGCCCCGCGAAATCAATGAAGCAGAGCTACACAATTATGAGGATAGATTCTATCTGGTCTAAACAAGAGAGACTTGAGTATATAGTCCCAAACAGATTTTAAATACAGATTTGCAGCTATGAATAGATATGTGTAATATGTTTAAAACTGTGTTATCTTATTTGAAGTCTTGCGAGTACTGTTGCATTTGATATACGGCACATATTTCTTCATACGCTAACTGCTACAATTAAAGGCAGTTGTCGTTGCGCCATATATGCGCTAGCTCCCCTATTAAGGAATTTGTTGATAATAGTTATCGCAATGTAATGCGCACAGAAACAGAAACAACTTCAAGCGCTGAGTATTGGTTCATCTCACTTAGATCCCAACTCATATGTGTACTTGCTGCCGTAAAGATTTGTTAGTAGAGCGCGATGGATTTTGGGGAAATTAATTTGTTAATCAACACAAATTTCGCGCATGCGTGGTGCGACACCACCGCCCTAGCATAAAACGCGTGCGATTTACAGATACGCACAGGTGATTAATTATATGTGACGCAACCCAACTAGGTAATTATCATGGTCGATTTATGGCTGATATATGCCGTGCGTACCAAATAAGTTGGAAACTAAACTAAGTATGAACTAAGTATGAATGTGAACGTCCTTCTTTCACTTTTCCAAATAACTGCACGATTGGAAGTGATGATGACTGTCAGACTCGATCTAGCATTTGTTTGGGGATTACGGGATTATTGTCAGTCGTACTGTAAACACTGCTGACATTAACAAATGTCATATGTGGCGAAAACCAGTGCTGTAGTTCTTATTAGGGGAGGACCATTATATCTGATGGTGACAGCTCCGTTAGAAATGTATAATTGGTGGGGCTCTGTGTCGCGCGATATTTGTGTCCGAGTACATCACCAAATCCGCCATTTTGTTTTATCCTCGTTCGTGACAAGACAAATACATGTATGTATCTAACATACCACACACACACTGTAGTAGGAAGGATGTTTTTAAATGTTGCTAAGTCGTGAAAAAAATGTAGTCGATTGGACTTTCAACCTTTTCACCACCAGACTTTCTCACCAAATGTTTCTGCATTTTTTTACATGTTTCAATATTTCTGGCAATGAACCCTAATTTTGGAGTCAACATTTTCAGTTTTACTCCAAAAAATAGCTATTTTTGTCCCAATAGGAAAGTGCAGACTATAAACAGGACTATTTTGTAAATTTGTGATGAAAAGAGGGTAGTGAAAAGGTTAAAATTACCAAGACTATTATCAGCAAACAAATATTTTTTTTTAAATATCAATTGTTAGATAAAATTATTATAAACCTTCATTCCATGGCCGATATACAACGCACTACGGGGAAATTATAAAAATATTACAGAGAAATCAGTGAAAATTGTTTACACTTTGCAGATAACACTCATTTTTTTTAAAGCGTTCGAAATTTACATAAATAGCCAGTGTATACTTTTACACACGTTGTATATCGACCATGGAATGAATGTTTATACTAATTTTATCTAACAATTGATATTTAAAAAAAAATATTCAATCGAATCCCGCAAATGAAGTCTTGTGTTTTTGTACCCCCCACACATCTATAGAAATACGGTAATGATGCACCTCCTTATCGCAGCCAAATGTAACCGACTATGTGTAAAAGCTGAGCATTACCTGACAGTCCGGTCACGTCCATCTTCGGTAAATTGCGGGCTTTCAGTACAACGACTGTTAAACGATTAGCAGCAGGTTGATATGACAACGAGACCAACAAATCACCGTGCCCTTGGTTACGAGGTATCTGGAAGAGTAGTATTAAGACGTAATCAATTTTCATTTTATTTTTCTTTGATATATTCATTGATTGTAATTATTATTCCTATCGCACTATTTAGATCCTTGAGATGAGGTAGATTGTGGCCTTGGTCTGATAACACACATGACGTTAGCTGCAAAATGAAATATTATGCGAAGATACAATCGCATGTCTTGGGATAACGACATTTACATGCTTGTTTCCCAGTGATAAATAATGACTGGGTTATTAGATTTTAGATTTGGTGTGTTCATCAAACATCGCAAATATTTTGAAAGAAAATCTAGATTTAACATTACAATAAAAACTTTCCGTGTATCTCCGTGATTTTTTTTATTTTAATGGAGAAAAATAGAGTATTTTGCCAAGTAAAATTATATCTATTAAAGTACACACACTACACACTTTGTGATCTCACTCAGCTTTTTTCGTACATGATTCAAAACAAATAAAAAGCAAAAATGTAAAGGATATAGCAAAATATGTTTCGTTTTAGTATTGGTAAGCGTATAAAATACATTTCGTTATGAATTATTCTTAATATTTTTTTTGTGTGTCAAAATCAGTTGATTTCAGGGTTTAAAAATTAAAGAATTTTAGAAGTCTTTATCGTAGTGTTGATTTTTGCATGTATTTACTCATTATTTTACTAAATGCAAACGATGTGTGTCTTTTCATTCCATGTTACAGTCCTAGGCATTTACATTTTTGCCTTACATTTTGAAAAAAAAAACACCGACGAGAATGGCCGTATATACATGTGGTCATTACTCACGAGTGCGTGCTCACGGACTGATTGTATATTGCAAGACAACATTAAGTTGGTAAAATTAAACAAGGTTTTTGAATCACTCTGCTATGCTATGCTGATTAATCTAATTATCTATTTGTGTGCATCGTTCTGACTGTCATGTTGTACGTATCACTCTATATTATTAGTCGCCAACGTTCATCAAATTTCACATTTACATCTAATTCTCAAAAACCGTCCATCTAGGATCTGTTATTCGTCTGAATTACAGTAGAGTATATGGCTTGAATTTGTAAACTTACTTCAAAGCATACAAATCCATATATATATATATACTCCTAGTATATTCTCAGGATTTGGATGTTCGTTGTTTGTTTTTTTCGAGTACTTGAAACTATTACTTAGCCTTTCGGTACATTGGATAGCGTGCTATGATTGGTATGCTGTGCAATGTAACAAAAACACTTCCATGGTAGTACACATAATAACTATGGCGTCACGGTAACTAGCTAGTAACTACGACGAAACGGGTGAGAATTTGAGCAGAAAATAGCTTTTGATCTATTACAGGCAAGTTCCCGTGACACCATCGAGTTTACTACACGCATGCGTTGTAGACATTGATATCGTTTCGTCATGAATAATGATCGCTATACAGGATTTCTTGTGGCGTCATTCGTATAGCCAAAAGATTAAGAAGACGAGTTACTGCATTAAGTTAACGCATTATTGATACATTTTTTTTTCGTTATTAAATCTCGTGTTAGCCAAGCCGTGTGGTTTTTAAAGCACAAACCACAGCAGCGGACTTTGAATTTTTGTGTAAGCTAGTATAGGACTAGTATTTTACTCGCGTTGTACACGGCGCGTCGACCGCTGTGGTGCTATAAATATTACGCATATCACAAACCAACAATGCACATTGCCTCGATCTGGAGGTGTACATATTTTCCATGATCAAGTTTGTGGTGGAACAAAAAACGTTAGTCCTCTGGCTTCTTCATGTGGAATGAGGGAAATTGTCCGTGAGTAAATTCATTAGTTAACATCAGAAGAACATTTATTCAAATCAAATCGACAAGAGATTTATTTTAAAGCACCACAAATTGACGTCTAAAACTCAAAACATAGGTAAATATTATGCGGTAGAGACACAATACATATCTACCACGATAGGTCCAAGTATGACGACATAATATGCAGTCATGACGTTAAGACAGAATGGAGATATTGTGTCCCGTCGCAAGCGGGCGCCCTGGGATCTGCTCTCGGTGGCTCCTGGAGTGTCTTGCGCCATGATATTTGAGGCGGGAACCAGCCAATGTCTTCCACGGCGTTCAATTACGTCAACAACTTAGGCTCGTTCAACGGCGCATGCGTTCAGCTATTGCAAACCCATATTTGTAACACCAGACGATTACAACATTATCAAGATTTCGCATTTTTTTGATTTGTATCAAAAATTTATCGTCCGATCGGAGATGTGATATTTGGATGTATATGTAATTATAATCAGGGTTACTAACCCGACCAGCTAATAAACAAAATAGCGGACTTGATGACTTGTTCGTACGTACAAATAATTATCGAAACAGAAACCCACATATTGGAGATGTTTGCAAATGCTACGCACGTCTAGTGGTCACATACACCCACGTCGGTCAAATGGATTGAAATCCGATCGAACCAGACTGTAGATGCGTGCGAATGTCGCAGACATCCGCGGCACTGACCCCATCTACATGACTAGCATATTTGACGATTACAAATATTGTTGGAAAAATTGTTAAGCATACATTCTAAAACCATTGCATTGAAATGAGTAAGGTTCAACTCATTCTGAATTACTATAGTGGATTGTATTCTCTGACTGCCAATAAATATAGATCTCCGGGGTAGAGACGAACATACACGTATACATTATACGAGGAAAAACATCTTAACTTGATTTTAACGTTAAATGGATTCTCGTCTATTACAGAACGTGGACAGTTTATTCAATTTGTATCTGCTTGTTCTACTCATATCAATAAACCTCAGATGCAAATGGCCGCCGAAATCTCGAGAGCTACGAGACTTGATTTTATCCCTCAAATTGTGTTCCATTCAAGTTCTCTGCCAAACCAAACATATTTTTTTTGACAATATACATGACTACGTTGTGGCTAGTTTTGTACAACGCGGAATCGTTCACACACGACCGCCCGTGTGTTTGTCTGTATGACTTTCTCACTTTACCAAGAACGTTACTCCAAGTCATCGGTTGCAGATTTACCCACAATGCTAGAATAATAATAATAACACTTACACATTTTCCGGAGGGGTTGCTAATTTTTAAGAAAGAATAAAAGGTTGAAAAAAATAAGCTAATACATTACAGAAAAAAATCTAGAAATAAGGGCTCACAAATATTTTTGAGACGATTTTTCTTTTGTCGAATAAGCGAACCGACTAACACCCCTAAAAATTCAAATCCAAGTCAGCGAGTTACAAACAACTCTTGAAAAATCCTATTGAACCAACAACATTTTGTACACGTGCTGTAACGAGGGTATATGTTTACCAATATTTTATATCTAACATCTATTCACAATACATTTTTTAAATAGACGGAGAAAATCGCAATATGTAAAATAAAGCAGAGCATCATGGGTAGTCTCTAGTAAACTGCTTACAAACTCAAAAATGATGAGTCACGCTGGCTAAGCCACTTTAAAATCCCATTCCATCTACCTTTAAACATAAACTTATACAATTTAAAACATTCATAATGCAAAGGACATACACCTTCATTTATGATTCTAGTGCTTAAGTATTTCGGTACAAAATTGTATAGGTTGGGTGTGTATTTGAAGACTGAATTTTAGATTTATGCGGAGGGTCGTCACCTGCGCTCGCGTGGGAATTCAAGTCCCAAGCGACGATAACAAGCTATCGAAGCTTCAGTAGTCAAGGTTCAAAATATTATCATTTCTGGATGCCGCGAGTACGCCATTAACGGGCGACAATCGGTCAATGCCTGGAGAATGCATAGGGGATTGAGCCATGCAGCGACAAACAATACCAGGGTAGCTGCACGGTTTATGTTTATGTTATTATTCGCATCTGTATAAATATTCGGATAAATCCCACAGATTAATCTCAAATTTTCAATGTACGCTTATTTCATGGATTAAATAAATAAGTAGCCTAAATATATCCGAGATAGCTCGTTTTCTGTTTGTTTTTTGTGAAAAACGGGAAACAAAACAATGACTGCGAGTCTTTAGTCGGCTTTGAATGACAACTTGCACAGCCTCGGTTGCGCATTGCATGTTTTTTTATAGTATCACATGGTCGATGATCATGACAATCAATACATTTTAGTCACGTGTTAGCAATCAATATATTTTCAAATTTCCTCGATTACCGTGTTTTTGACTCACTTTTATACAAATCAATATTATTCCGTGTTTTCAATTAAACACCTGTAATTTTTTGAATGTTATTATTATTCTGCTTCACCAGTGTAGTTATAACAACAATCCGACTGATGTGGAATATAACATGCGTTTGGAGATTAGTCTTACAAATCATAGCTGTGTAAGCACGTGATTAATTCACACGAATTGTTTTTTTTTGTATGCAATCTATTTTGCCGCCGGATATGCTCAAAACAGTATCTTGGTTATCCTGATGGACGCTCACTGTAGTTAGCTGATTAGTTCGTCTCTTTGCTGATAGTTGCCATGGTTATCCATCACATCATCTCAAGACATGTAATTTTTGATACTGTTGTTTGACACGCTGTACATTGTTCTTATACCACACCTCTGCTTATTCGTTCGATGAAATAATGAAAATATCTAAACAGGAATCTGATCATACCGTATATGACCTTTATATTTGTATTTACGAAAGCGTGTTTATCATTATGTATTATAAAATACAAATTTATAACCACATTATTTTTCATTTGGAATCATTTTTTTTTCAAATTGGATTGGATTAGGTGGGCGCCCCCGATTCACGCGTCAAGTAAAACGTATTACGTCACTACACGCGTTCGTACAATATGTAACTGGCATTTGAGTTTATAAGCAATTAAAAATGTACACGCCTTTGATGACTTCACTGTACTGTATCATATTGTTGTTATAATTATTCTCAACAAAGCAAATAATAAAAGTACGCAAAACAAAATTAAAGAAAGATATATCTTTGCTGGGTCACGTTCGACACTCAGCGGCTTTTG